GCAACCCTTTATTTGAGAAACGAATTATGTGTATCTGTCAGATTCATTTGCATTTCCTGCGGCCCGCATCAGGCCAGGATTTTGGGCACAAGAGATCCGCCTGCCCTCCGTCCGCCCTCCCTCGCCAGCAACCCGTTGATCGGCATTGTCCTTGCGTCGGGGTCGTGGCCAAATCATGTTCAGCACGCTCTCACCTTTGACAGGAAGTTAAATATAAAAAACAAAAAGGAAAAAAAAAAAGAGAAAACGAAAACGAAAACGAAAACGAGAAGCTGCAGCCGCGCGGAACGTCATAAAAACAACGAAAAACTAAACAAAAGAAAAAGCAAAAGTGTAGTTACCTCATCACTCTCCCTGTCTCGCTCTCTCTCTCGCTCAGCTGATGAGCTCAACCTTTATGGGCTCGTGCGCGACATGCGTTTTCCTCCTCCAGCTCCTCGCTCAGTTTCATTTTCATTTCCATTTCCATTTTCATTTTCAATATTTTTTAAAGCGTCATTTAAATGCAAAGTGCGTTGCACAGTTTTCCACAGTTACTGCTTCTGCCTCTGCTTCCTCCCCGCACCCGAGGGGTAGCTGGCTTCTAATAGAGGCGCATTAACACCTTGTTGCCCGCATGGCCAGCGTCTGCGGTGACATGTGTTGACCTGTGCAGCAGCAGCTTCCATCGATTAGCCCCGTGCCCAGTCTGTGCCTCGTTGGCTACGTGCTGATACCCTAACCCTGGCAGGGCCACAAAGGCCTCCAGCTTGGCCTGGAGCTATTCCATATATTACATACCTACATATATAGATAGAGAGGTGAATTCGGTCTCCGCATTTCCTCATCTACTTACTCCAGTTAGCTCTTGGCTATATTGAGCCTAGGAATTATTCTCTGTTACATATTCCCCTACTCTCTCTCTGTCTCTCTCTCTCTTGTCACAATCTCAATTTTCATTCTTCACTAGAGATCTTATAACCTCTTCCTCCTCTTTCCTTTATCTATTCTCATCGTTCGTTTCTTTTGCTTCAGCGTATTTGCAATTCGTTTTCTTGCTTTGCTTTTTTTGCTTTGTTTGCTTCGCTTTGGCTCTCATCGCATCGCATCTTTTTACTATTATTATTATTATTATTATTTTTGCTGTCTTCGGTTTATTTTTTTATTTTTTATATTCTTGGCGTAGCAAATTTTCACATTTTCACATTTTTCATTTTAAAAATCGCATCTGTTGCGTGCTCCCCCGCCTCCGCTCGCCCAATTGAACCCTCGTCGATAGTTATGGCCACATGTGTGTGTGTGTGTGTGTGTGTGAGTGTGTGGATGTGTGGGCTTGTAATTTCCGCCGCAGGACATGTGGCTCCTTTCGGGTGGTTTTGGTGGTTTCTGATTTTCAGTGGCGTTTTACGGTTTACAGTTTTCGGTTTCCGTGGCAAATTAACAAACGTCGCGACAAACCGCACGGCAAATCACATAAAAAAAGAAGTGAAAAAGAAGCAGAAACTATTACGATACATGACATGTGTAGGTGTGTGTGGGTGTGTGGATGTGTGTGTGTGTGGGTGTGTTTGGCAATATCCTGCTGTAAGGGACAGCACCTGCAGCTGTTGCTGTTGCTGCTCCTGCTGCTGATGTTGCTGCCGTGCGCGCCCATTTGTATGCTAAGCACGCCAGCAACACGCGCCTCTCTTTCACTCTCTCTTTCTCTCTCTCTCTGTCTCTGTATTCGTGTGTGTGTGTGTGTGTGTGTGTGCGCGTATTGCACACAAAATCAATAAATAAATAAATTCGCCGCCGAAACTTTGCAGCAGCAAATATCTGCAACATATCCGCCCTGCCCCCTCCGCCCACTCCCGCCCTCCGCTGGCATTTATTAATAATTAATAAGGCAAATTGCTGGCAGCCTCATTTCCTGCCAGTTCACATATTTGACAGACAACATAACTAAACTACCTCTCTCCCTCTTTCCCCCTCTCTCTCTCTCTCTTCGTGTAGAGCCCAGCAACTATACGTGTTCGAGATGCAAGACCCGCTATACCTCCGCCTGGCGCCTCATCCAGCACGTGCAGCACTCGCACGGCGTCAAGATCTACGTGGAGGCAGGCCTGACTGTGGCCACGCCCGCCGCCCTCAATGCAGCCGCGTCGGCGGCCGCGAACGCCAGCCTAAGCCCCAACCGCAGCCTCAGCCCCTCATCGGCCGCAGCAGCAGCGGCGGCGGCAGCGGCAGCAGCAGCAGCAACCGTTGGCATGCCGCTGCCGTTGCACGCGCTGATGGCGCAGGCCGTCGCCTCGCAGTCGCAGTCGGCGTCACAGTCGGCGTCAGCATCGCCGGCCCCGAAGCGCAGCAGCAGCAACAGCAGCGCAACGGCAATTGTTGGTGGTGCCAGCTCGGCCAACACCAGCAGCAGCAGCACTGCGAGCAGCGGCAACTCACCGACACAGCAACTGTTGCAGCAGCGCGTACAGCAGCAGCAGCAGCATCAGCAGCAACAGCAACAACAGCAGCAGCAGCAGCAACAGCAGCAGCAACAGCAACAACAGCAACAGAACATGGCCACGGCAATGGCAGCGGGCATGCGCCATCATCCGCTCCTGGCGCCGCCCGAGGCGATGCACGCGAACCCGTTCCAGCTGCTCCGCATGCCGCTGCCCCCGGCGCTGGCCCAGGGCAATGTAGTTCCTAGCGTGGCGCCCCTCTTCGGCCGCCCCACGCCCGCCGACCACTACCGCATGGAGCAGCTGGTCAGCGAGCAGTTCCGCCATCACGGCTTCAATCTGGCTGCCGCCGCCGCCGCCGCCCAGGCCCAGTTCAACGCCACCACCCAGCAGCAGCAGCAGCAGCAACAGCAGCAGCCGCTGCCAGGAGTTGCCGTCAATGTTCCTAGCGGCGTCGAGCCACGGCCGCCCTCGAGCAACAGCAGTCAACGCGGCTCAGTGCCGCCCGCTGCGCTGCCGCCACCGTCGCTCAGCTCTCAGCAGCAACAGCAGCAGCAGCAACAGCAGCAGCAGCAACAACAACAGCAGCAACAGCAGCACCAGCAACAGCAGCAACAACAGCAGCAGCAGCAACTGCAACAGCAGCAACAGCAACAGCAGCCCATTGCCGCCGCTGTGAGTCCAGCGGGCGCCGCTTTGCAACTGGAACCGCAGCAGATGGATTTTTACTCGCAGCGATTGCGTCAGCTTGCGGGCACAACAAGCCCTGGAGCTGGCAACATTGTTAACTCGAGCTCGCCGAGTCCTAGACAGAAGCAATCGCCGCGCTTTGCGAGCCCCTCGCCCAGCTCCGCAGCCAGCTCTGTGCAGCTGACGGCGACCCCGCGGCCCCACTCCCTGACGCCGCCCGAGAAGAGCGCCGAGAATGGCGGCGGACAGCTCGGACAGCTGCCGGGCACGCCGCGGAGCACGGCCAGCACGCCGCCCAGCAAGCCCTTGGAGGGCGAGCGCAGCGAGGCGGAGCTGGAGGCGAGCTGCTATGCGTGCGGCTACTGCGACAAGAAGTTCCGCTTCGAGAACAATCTGATCATCCACCAGCGGACGCACACCGGCGAGAAGCCGTACAAGTGCACCGCCTGCGACTTCGAGTGCTCCCACATCCAGAAGCTGATGAAGCACATGCGCGTCCATCGCAGCCCCGCCGAGGGCCAGGACGGCAGCAGCAGCAACGGCGGCGACAACAACCAGGATGGCCATGACGGGGGCAGCAATGCCGACTCCTTGGAGACGAACGAGGCGGACAACGACGAGGATCCCAATCCGGAGGACTCCGACGAGGAGCTCAACGACGAGGACGTCGATGCGGACGCGGATGCGGAAGAGGACGACGAGGACGAGCTGGACGATTGCGAGGACGTTGACTACGAGGCCGAGGATCTCAGCGTCAACAATCGCATCGACGGCAAGAGCCAGAGCCCAAAGACGACCAGCTCCGGCGCCACCTCGCTGGTGGGCGAGCTCATGGACAAGTTCGGCCTGTCCAACATCGCCCAGTACTCGGAGGCCTACAAGCAGGCGCTGCAGGAGTCGGGCCGCAAGGAGGCGGCTGCCGTGGCCGCAGCTGCTGCCGCCGCCGCCGCCGTGGACAACAACAACCGCAGCTCCTCCGTGCCAGGAGGCGCCTCGAATGCAGCAGGCGCTGCTGGCGATAAGCTGAACGGGCTGCCGGTGGCCGCGCTGCGGCTGCGCGACGAGTTCGCCAAGAACTGCAACATGTTCCAGCCGCAGCCGCAGGACGGGCCTGCCCAGGTGCCGCTCTTCAATCCGTTCCCCAATCCCTTCGAGCTGTCCAAGCGCATGAAAATGGACGGCGGCGACTGGTGGGGCATGTCGGCGCTGCACCGCAACGAGGCGCTGTTCGAGAACCTGAAGCTGAAGCCGCTCGGGCTGGGCGGCGCCAACTCGCTGCTGCAGGGACCCCTGCTGAAGAAGGAGTCGCGCCAAAGGAACGACACCTGCGAGTTCTGCGGCAAGGTGTTCAAGAACTGCTCCAACCTGACCGTGCACCGGCGCAGCCACACCGGCGAGAAGCCGTACAAGTGCGAGCTGTGCTCCTACGCCTGCGCCCAGAGCTCCAAGCTCACCCGCCACATGAAGACGCACGGCCGCACCGGCAAGGACGTCTATCGCTGTCGCTTCTGCGACATGCCCTTCAGCGTGCCCTCCACCCTCGAGAAGCACATGCGCAAGTGCGTCGTCAACCAGGGCAAGGCGGCGGCCGCTGCGGCGAACGCGGCGAATGCTGTGGCTGCTGCCCAGGCAGCCGCTGCCGCTCAACAGTTGCAGGCAGCTGCCCAGGCCCAGCAGCAGCAGCAGCAGCAACAACAGCAGCAGCAACAACAGCAGCAGCAGCAACAGTTGCCCACACAGTCGTCGCCCTGCCCCATGGGCGTGGCTGTGGGCTTTCCGCCGCAATTCGGACACAATCTGTCGCTGGCGGGCAGCGTGAGCGGCGACAACGACTCCAACGCTTCTTCCAGCCTGCCGGCGCACTCCATCTCGCTGAAGGAGGAGGCATGACTTTTTAGCAGCTGGAGCAGCAGCAGCAGCAGCAGCAACCACAACCACCCGCCGCCCACGTTGCATGGCCCGCTGGCTGCACATGTGCTACAGCCGCATCCACACGCGCTGCTGCCGCCCGCACAACAGCACCACCACCTCCAGCAGCAGCAGCAGCAGCAGCAGCACCAGCAGCAGCAAGCTCAGCAGCACCACCATCATCCGTTGGCCAGCAGCCGCAGCCGCCTCATGTCGCGCATCTTCTAAAGATGTTGCACCTAGCCCCCGAGCCCCGCCCCGCCCCGCCTCCGCCTCCGCCTTCGCCCCTTGTACATATGAAGTGAAGCACAGTTGTCGTACGGTTATGATACAGCCCCCCTCCCCAGGTACGGCCCAACCCTCTCGCCCCCTGCAACTGCAACTTTCTAAAAGATTGCGCCAGCAGTTGTTGTTGCCCCATGCAAGCATTCGGCTGCTCCTTGAAGGCGACTTACAACACGACCAGAGGCATTTAATACCAAAGCAATAACCGTTATGTAATATAATTTTAAACAAAAAACTCAATTTTTTTTTTCAACAATTTTTTTTTTTTATTACGTTTTATATATGTGTGTGTGTCTGCTAAAGAAGTACTATACTACATATACCTAAATATAGAAATATATATGTATATATGCATGCATATATGAATATATGTATTTACGATTAATTTTCACAATTTTTTTCCAAGTTTTTTTTTTTAATATTTTTAAAATACTTAATTTATGCGAAACATATATTTAAATATATATATATTACAAATTAAGAATATATGCGGCAGGACAACTGCGTCTGACACATTTTCCAGTGTATTTATAGCAATTAAGTAAAACAAAAACAAAAAACAAAAGAATAAGAAACAAAACATTTGTATAAAAGAAAAACCAACAAAAAATACTAAAAAAAAATACTACTACTGTGGGAAAAACACTAAGAGTAAATCCAAAAAAGAAAAAAAAAGACACGACAAAATACATAATTACTATATACTATATATAGTAGACTTATATATAAATCTTTTTTTGTGTGTGTTTTAAGATCGCGTATTTGTTAAACATCGATGTACATTTTAGTAAATCTAGAAATCTAGGCACTAAAGAGCAACACTTGTATAAAAGAATTCTTATTAACTATAATTATTACGGTATAACGATATATGAGCATATGCATATACATATATATTAACAGATGTATATATATATATATGCATATAATTTTTTTAAAATATTATTTCGAGACATTTTTTGCATAGAGAATAATTCTATTATTAATTGTAATTAAAACAAACAAAAAAGAAAAAAAAAACTATAAAAAAAAAACGGAAAGTAATCAAATTTTTTACATACATAAATAAATCTATAAATGTAAACACAATTTTTTTTTGTAAACAATTAGCTTAAGTATCGAAGAAGGAGCTGAAGAAAGAAACACAAATTCGTGACAAGGCAAAAGCAAAAAATTTAGCGGCAGTTGAGCATTAGAAAAGGACAGAAAGAGCACGTGAAAAATGTGTGAAAAATTAATTAAATTTGTACGTAAAACTTCAAGCGAAAAGCAATTAACAATTATAGAAAAAACAAAAACAAAAAACATCAACAACAAACAACTAGATTTAGAAGACTGAGGAACTAACGTATGTATTTGTTTTCTTCCCTGAGATAAAGAAAGAGATAGAGAGAGAGAAAGAGAGCGAAAGAGAAGGTAGCAAGTAATACGAGAAATGAACCAATTTTTTTTGCATAAATGTTTTTGCTGTTGATTTTCGTTATTTGATTGAAAGAAGAATAGAAAACACACTTTAAAATATATATAAAAAGAACTCACATTTTGATTAATATTTAATAATTGTTTTTAGTACAAATTTATTTGGCGAGCGAAAAATGCAAATCGAAAAAGAATTAAATTAGTTTTAACTTATTTTTTTCTTTTCCTTTTTGGTTTTTCAGCTTTCTTTGTTTTTTGTTTTGTTTTGGATTTCAATTTACCAAAAAAAAAAAAGAAAAAAGAAAAGTAAAAGAATACTTAAAGTAAAAATTGCTTCTACTGTTGCCGCACACACACACACACACACACCCCTAAAACGAACACCCCTCTCAACCCTCTCCCCCCGTCCCCTCCCTGCGGCAACACTACAAGCAATTTTTTCAACTATGAAGTTTATCGTGCATATTTTATTAGAGAGAGATAGAGAAAGAGCGAGTGAAAGAGAAGAGAATGTTTTACTTTTTCGTTTTTGTGAAATTCTTCAAATCAATTATGTTTCAGACAAGACAAGACAAGACACGACAAGACATATACATTATCTATATACCTATACATATAGTTCATATAGAAAATCAAGAAAAATTGAATAAAAATGCAAATATTATACAAATCATAAAATACTTATGTTTCATTTTCAACTCTATAAGAAAAACATTTTGGTTTTTTATTTTCTTTTTTTTTTTTTAACAGCAACAAACACAAAGTTTTTGAATTCGAAATCGAAGTCGAAGACAAAAAAATCCAAAATTCAAAGCCCAACAAGCTAAACACTATCATACATGATTAGAAAATTTAATTATAGCTATAAAGGAAAAAATCTTTACACTAAAACAAAAACCAAAAACAAAAGAAAACAATGCACAAATACAAAAATACTTAAATCGCAGCAGAAATAAAAAGCAAGCGAAATGTGCAACTAAAAATTTAAAAATAAAAATTTCGAAAATAAAACCAAATATTTTTCAAGTGTGTGTAATATTTTGAACATAAACAATAATAAATACAAAGCGTAAATTAATAATTAAAATAGTTGTCTGTGTTACAAAATACAAATATAAAAAAATACATACAAATTAAAGAAAAAATGTAAAAGAAACAAACGCATTTTTAATTTTCGATCGCGTGCCATAAACTTTATAGCAACGCACGAAAGTAGGCAACGCCAATGGACAACAGAAATGATCGTGAAATAAAAAGCATTGCATACTTTACAGCGCGCACAAAAAATCCGCCAGATGTCGCCAGCTCAACGCACGATATGCAAATTGCTCGCACGCACACATGCTACAGAGAAGCACACAGCACACACACACATGCAAGCATGCATGCATGCCATTCAACTCACACATATGCTATCATGTGTGTGCGAGCGAGATAGAGCGCGTGTCCAAAACATTGCTGCTCGCTGAGCTGCCCAATGGGCCCCCATTGGCCGTTGGGCATAGAAACCGTCCTTAGCCGGACCCCAATTCCGCCGGCTGCCGGCCCGCCAGCCCAGACTCGACCAGCAGTGACCAATCCAACATAACTGGCCGCCCAATTGGCGGGGCGGAAACTTCAATTGGAATTGGCATTGGAATCCAACGACTGCGACACGCTCGCAGCACACATGTGGCCGGCGCATGTGTGGGCCAGCCACAGCCAGAGCCAAAGCCAACGCAGCCCAAATTGTAGCCAAAGCCGATGCCCACGCTGGCAGCGCTGTCGACGCATCACGTCGCTGCCCGGTCTAGCATTGGCAACCCCCTGACCGAGGTTGCGAATGACTTGTGGCCGGCTCGAACTTGTGCGTCAGACATGTTCGCTCTGCTCGGACTTGGTCTCGCTCTCGGTCTCGGATGCTGTCTCGGCCCCGGCGAGCTGCGCCAAATTGTTATTGTTATATTTGTCCATTTCAGAAATTTAATAATCCTTGGACACATTCTGGCCATTGTTGTATTTGTGAGTACCCCAAGACTTTAATTGACTTTGCTGAGTTTTACATTTCCTCAAGAGCAGTCGCAAGTAAATTAATCTAAATGAAAATTTTAAAAATTTTATTAATTGTACCAGTAGTAGTAATTAGTACAAACAACTGAAAAAAGTAAGACTTATAATATACTTATTAGATTATATGACAATAGAGACACTGGAATTTAATGATACATTTTTTAAAGAATTATTTATTTCATCTTATTGTCTATGACTCTATAGAGCAGTCATCACTAAACGTTAAACTATATGTGAGCTAGAGGCCAGTATTTACATCATATATCTAATTATTTACATTATTTATTTATTTGCTTATTTAGTTTTATAGTCCAGAGCGTGCAGCCTTTTAATCCTTCGCCTTTTGGTGTTGTGTGCCTGGGTTGGGTGACCTAAAAACCTGTCCACTTACCTTAAGGAGTGGCGTCGAATTAGTTCAATTGTTTTGAAATTATTAATGAAATCTTAAATTCCAAAAAATTTATTTTCTTTAGAGCCACTTGAGCTTGAGTTTTTATATCTTTACTGTACTATGTACAACAAATGTCACTGTCTGATACGATGAATTTAAAAGCCAAGTTTGATATAAATTCGTAAACTAAATATTATTAATATAGTTATTATTGTTATTATTATTGTTGCTATTACTATTATTCTTTAAGCAAATTTTCTTTTCAATTTTTATTGAATTGGATATGCTAAACATAGTATATATTATACACAGAGTTTGGTAATAATGAAAGATTAAAGTGAATAACGAAGAATAAGAAAAGAGAAAAGTAAAAGAAAAAACTATCCCACACTCTGGAAGCTATTCCCCCTTTTTCATCTTAATCAAAAAATAAAAATATTTATGGAAACTATAGAAGGATATATTGCATAGGATATTTATATAGAATTCTCAACATTAACATTGCCTAAAAGAAATTTAATTATAAATTAGAAAAGAATAAAAAAAAAATCAATTGAACAAAACAAATTAAGTGAATTACTTTGAGAGGTAAGAAGTTGAATTAAAACTCTTTTCATGATAAATCCATTGGCAAACCAATCGAAGGAAGATAGATGCACTAGCTAATTGCTCTTAGCTTGTATGCAGGCTGAAAACTAAAATGGAGGACCAATACTGCCGTGGAGCCCGGTGAGCAGCCAAAGGATTGGTCTTGGAGGAATCTGGGATGCGAGACAGTTCGTGCAGAGCGAACAATTCAAGTGTGTGTGCCTGATACTCGTATATCACGGGTAGCCTACACCCAATGTGAGTGTGCGAGTGTGTGTGTGTGTGTGTGTATGTGTGTGGCCATAAGGGTGAAACTTTTACTGCTTGCTTACAGAGATTCTTTTCTGATGATAAATTAATTTATTATGTTCGAATTGAAGCACTCGCAGCCAGAACGAGAAACCGGAGTCAGAGCCGGAGCCAGAGCCAGAGCCAGAGCCGGAGCCAAGGAAGGAGATGCAGACGTAGGCCGAGACGTAGACAGAGACCGAGACCGAGCCAATGCTGTTAATGTGAGCGGATGTAACAGCCATTGCCAGGCCATGACTAAAGTTATGTAAATGAATATAGATATATATGCATATACTTATACACATACACACACACACACACACACACATACGTATGTACGTGTGAACTGCCTCAACTTTGTGAGCAGAAACAAATGCGGGTTTCAAGCACGAGTCTGTGTCGAATATATATGTCTCTGTGTGTGTGTGTGTGCGTGTGTTTCAACCCTATCGCAAGTGTGTAAGCAATTACAGCAACAGCAACAACTACAGAAATAATGAACAACACCATCTGACCACTTGAATAATTTGGAAAAGTGGCGGGTGGCCCGAGAGACCGAGAGCCGGGTGATGTTTTAA